TCGACCAACCCCAAACCCTAAACCCTAAACCCTAAACCCTAAACCCTAAACCCTAAACCCTAAACCCTAAACCCTAAACCCTAAACCCTAACCGCTAAACCCTAAACCCTAAACCCTAAACCCTAAACCCTAAACCCTAAACCCTAAACCCTAAACCCTAAACCCTAAACCCTAAACCCTAAACCCTAAACCCTAAACCCTAAACCCTAAACCCTAAACCCTACACTGCAAGTATCCCTGCCGGAACCAATGAGCAATCGCAACTGCCACCCAGACGAAGCCATGTCAGACAAAAAAAGGGATGCCCATCCCTTAGCCTGAAAGAACCTAACCCTAAACCCTAAACCCTAAACCCTAAACCCTAAACCCTAAACCCTAAACCCTAAACCCTAAACCCTAAACTCCCCCTTGTACTGACAGCCCTTAATAGGGATCATAGTACATCCCCATTCCTAAGCCTTGAAAACCCTAAGTTTGGGATGTGTTCCCCCTTTTACTAACAGTCCTTAATAGGGATTCTATAGAGTACCCCCCTTTTTTATCCCCCCCTCTCCTGGACTGCTAGTACAAGGGGGAACATCCCGACCCTACATTCAGGCGGCGGGCCTCTTGGAATCGAGTGGGTCGCGCTCGGACACAATTCGCAGTTCACCATCCTTTTCGCAGCGTTTTGTGTTTCTCCCATTTTTTGGGAAGACCGGGCGTGGCGGCTACAGTCAACCCTTATCCCAGAACACCCTAAAAGGCGCTGCTCCAACCTGTTCTTTCGGGGTTTTAAGGTATTTAGGGCTTCCAAGGCTTAGCACAAAAAGTCTTGAAGACGAATTAGGCCTACTACTCGCTGTTAAGATCGTGCCAGTGGTAGACATCAGAGGGAGGCAATTATTGGGGAAGTCACCCGTGCCCACATGAAACCGACGGAGACCCTTGGGGACCAAATGAGCCCTAAAATTGGGGGGCATCTACCCTATACCAATGTAATTCCTAATTCCTATTAAGGTATATGAACCATAAACCCTTTTAGGGCCCCCAAGGACCAAGACACCGCAACCCCAGTGACAGTCCTGAACGTGCACGTTCGCCGCGCGGCACGCGGCGCATCGGCAAGCGGTGATATTCCTTGGGTTTAGGGTTTAGGGTTTAGGGTTCAGGGTTTAGGGTTTAGGGTTTAGGGTTTAGGACCCCGAAACCCTAAACCCCAAACCCTAAACCTCAAACCCTAAACCCTGAACCCTTGTCCGTAATTATGACCCAAGCTATCCCGACTATCAGACTACTCCCCCCCTCCCCCATCCTTATATCAAAACAACCCGTAAAGAAGCTTGATGCTGTACTGTACTCCCTTCCCCCTAATTTGTGAAGCCCCGCCCCTACCCCCAATATGAAGCACCCCCATCTATGGTGTATGGGGAATGTTGAATACTATGGCGAGGGGAGCACGCAGCACACCGGGTATGCGCTCAGGGGTCCCGGGAAGAAGCGGTTCTTGAAATGCGCGTAGAACTGTTGAGGATCTGGGGCTTGCAAGGTTTCGTGGGGTTTTCAGAGGATCTTTAAAAAAGTATTTTTAATATAAAAAAAATCCCCAAACTGCCCCAAACCCGAGGGTACAACCTTTGAGATCCGAGGTAGTCCCCATGATTCCAGCGAGTCTCAAGCCAGCCACGCCGAAGTTGATGTCCTTGTACCCGCCTGGGGCAGACGTGGGGGTCATGTGTGTTTACCTTTTCTAGACCCCCATCCAGAAGGATCCCCTTATCATAAGGACCTCAATAAGGTCGTACTTGGAGGTTCTGCAGATTACTTAGAACCCCAACATACAACTGCACGCAGAAGCCCCTCTCAGTCTCTAAGTGGGCCTTTCCCAAAACAGCACAAGTAGGTTATAAGTAGACTTATAATTGGGATTGGAAGTACCCATGAGCCTCTAAGCAGACGTTTCCTGCAGGAGTGTAACGCTTTGGGGTTCAGATTTTGGGGTAGAACGGAACCTCCACACATTAACGCCCTGAACCTAAAAGCCTAAAGACCTCAATCCCACCGCCAAACCTGCAACCCTAACCCCCAACACCATAAAGCCCAACAACCCTAAAACCCTGCACCCCTAAAATGCTCAAAGCCCAAAGCGCTCAAAGACCCTAAATCCCCGAAGAGTTAAGCTTAGAGAACTACTCCCATGCACTCTGCACTGTAAGGAAAAAGACTTAGAAACTGGAGGTTACTGATCTGGGGTTCTCAGACAAGACACTAGATTGTAGCGAGCCACAGTCGCAGCTACCCTGCCGCAAAACCTGCCTCGAACCCTAAACCCTAAACCCTAAACCCTAAACCCTAAACCCTAAACCCTAAACCCTAAACCCTAAACCCTAAACCCTAAATCCCACAAACTCACCAAGCCCACAAACCCTAAACCTTAAACTACCCTAAGCCCGACAATACCACAAACCCTAAACCCCGAAATCTTGACGGCCCAGCAGTCCTTCGCTGGCCACTATTTGCCAGTAGACCGGATCTAAGCGATCTCCCAGGAAGTCATCTGACCACTCCAACCTGGCAGGGTTTAGGGTTTAGGGTTTAGGGTTTAGGGTTTAGGGTTTAGGGTTTAGGGTTGGGTTTAGGGTTTAGGGTTTAGGGTTTAGGGTTTAGGGTTTAGGGTTTAGAGTTTAGGGTTTGAGGTTTGGGGTTTAGGGTTTAGGATTTAGGGTTTGGGGTTCGGGTTTAGACCACTCCAACCTAGCAGGCAGGATACCTAACGGTTTACGAGAATCAGGGACCCCTAAAATAAACCCCCAAATAGTAGGGTCCCCTTACAATATCGTAAACCCCCACCTGGTGTTGGGGTTTAGGGCTTCGGGTTTTAAGGTTTAGGGTTTCGGGTTTAGGGCTTCTTCTTCTTCTTCTTTCTTGTTGGTTGCGGTTTTAATCTGGTTTGGGTTTAGGGCTTCTTTATTGGGTAGAGATGGTTTAGGGTGTAGGATTCAGGGTTCAGGGCTTCGGGCTGGGGCTACGGTCTTAAGAGGCTCCTACACAAATAGCTTTCGGGCGCAAGCACGTGGGATAGAAATATAGGTGTCGTCAAATGGCCTCCATCCTCCCCGTCCGCGGCAGAAGGACGAGGCCGTGGCGGAGGTCGTGTCAGGCACTTTGGGCGTCGTGGGCGTGGCGGGCGCGGGTGGAGGTGCAGGGAGAAGTGAAGGGAGAGGTGCCGGGGGAGGTGGTGGGGGGAGTGTTGGGGTGACGGCTGGGGGATTCTCCTGGAGCTCAAGAGTCGGCGGGGCCGGTGTGGTCAAATCCGCCCCCTGCGGGGGCGGCAGCGATGTTCCAGGTTCGGGCTGGGCAGATGGAACCGCGTCCGCGGAGATCGCCGGGAAGAGGCCTTGGCTGCTCACTCTTGCTGGCACTGCCACAGCTGAGCAAGGGTTTAGGGGGTGGGGGGTTTAGGGTTTAGGGTTTAGGGTTTAGGGTTTAGGGTTTAGGGTTTAGGGTTTAGGGTTTAGGGTTTAGGGTTTAGGGTTTAGGGTTTAGGGTTTAGGGTTACACAAGACAAGGAGCCTGCTTGTTGAAGGATGACGGTGAAGCCGCACAGAAGAACGAAGGTCACAGCAATCTTCTTCATCCCATGATGCCAGCGGCTCCCTAAACCCTAAACCCTAAACCCTAAACCCTAAACCCTAAACCCTGGAGCCTCTTCTGAATTTACGCGGGCTCAATTATCAAGTACATTTACCCGAAGCTTTGTAGGGCTGTTTGAGACTCGCTGTGGGTTAGGGCGTACAGTGCCAGCAGGGTGTATATAGGGTTTAGGGCCTAGGATTGAGGTTTAGGGTTTAGGGTTTAGGGTTTAGGGTTTAGGGTCTAGGGTCTAGGGTCTAGGGTCTAAGGGTCTAGGGTTTAGGGCTAGGGTTTAGGGACCTACTGCATGGCGCGCTTCCGCCTGTAGCCAGCTGCAAACAAGCAAGCGAGTTTTCCGAGACCCTGCTCTTTGGTAACCCTAAACCCGAAACCCTAAACCCTAAACCCTAAACCCTAAACCCTAAACCAGAGCTATACCCTCCAAACCCGAAATCTACGCCCTTGCACCCTGAACCCCTTGTAGGGGTTGAGTGGGCCCAGGGTGGTTTAGGGTGGTTTAGGGTGGTTTTGGGTGGTTTAGGGTGGTTTAGGTCTATACGGTCTAGGGTGTCTAGGGCTAGGGTTTAGTTAGGGCTTAGCGCCTTGAGTGGCCCTGTAAACTCACAGACCATGTGGGCACAAAAAGGTTTAGGGTTTAGGGTTTAGGGTTTAGGGTCTAGGGTCTAGGGTTTAGGGTTTAGGGTTTAGGGTTTAGGGTTCAAACCCTGCAGACCCCAGAAGCCCTGGATTCCGGCAAGCCTTAAAACTTAAAAAACCCGAATTATGGTTCACCCCTACCAACCCCCAAAACATCTGAAGAACCCTACAAAACCAAAAGCAAATAAAACCCTATAAGCCGTATTACACCCTATATGCCCTATCATAACCCCATAAACCCTACAAACCCTACAAACCCCACAAAGCCTGCAAGCTCTTAAACCCTCAAGTCTATTATCAAGAAAACGGACTCCAGAAAAAGACAACCCGCTGAGCCCAAAACCTCTAATTATGTCATAGTTAAAACCTGATGACCTAAACCTTGTACAACCCCAAGCCCTAAATCCTACAACCCAGATTTGTCTGGGCCAACATGTAAGCCCTAGAGCTTATGAGCCTGCAAGCCCATAACCCTAAACCCTATAGACCCTACCCCCTACAGACCCAAAATGCTCTACACCCTTAAAGCCAAAAAAGGCCCCAAGCCCTCAACCCCTAATCTTCTGAACCCTAATGCCCAAACCCTAGAGCCCAAACCCCGAAAGCCCTAAGTCCCTCAAGCCCTAAACCCTAAGCCCTTAATTAACCCTAAACCCTAAACCCTAAACCCTAAACCCTAAACCCTAAACCCTAAACCCTAAACCTAAATCCCTCAAATCCCTCCAGGCTGCTGTCGTCGCCGGCGTTGGCCGCGCGCCGTGCCAACCGCGCGATGGGAGGAGCGGGAGTGGAGAGGATGGCAAAGGCCCAAAGCCTGGGTTTGGGGGTTTAGGGTTTTAGGGTTTAGGGTTTAGGGTTTAGGGTTTGGGGTTTAGGGTTTAGGGTTTAGGGTTTAGGGTTTAGGGTTTAGGGTTTAGGGTTTAGGGTTGAAAGTTTAGGGTTTAGGGTTTGGGGTTTAGGGCTTAGGGTTGTCTTATGGCGTTTCGCGCTTAGTAGTTCTGGGGTTTAGGATTTCGAGGGTTGAGGGCTGTTAGGGCTTAGTTTTGTAGGGTTTTGGGTTCTGAGGCTTTGATTGTAGGGCTCATAGCAAGCGTGGATGTTACTTGGAGGTTCATGGTACTTATTTGACCAGTCATAACTGTACTTATAACCCACTTATAAGCCCCTTAAGTGCCCCAATATGGTTCTAAGTACAGTTATAAGTACAGTTATAATTGGTTAATAAGTACCATGAACCTGCAAGTAGGGGTTTACAGAGCTTCTAATTCTGCAGATGTCCTCTGCATTTTTTTTTTGTGCAACTTTGATGCGCTCCTCCCCTTTTTTGGCAGATAGGATTGTCATGCACTTTCTCTTTTCGCTGCATGTCTCTGCTTGAACCAGAACTGTCGTTTGGTCGGGATCCCATTGCACCAAAACATAGTTTGTAGTGTGTTGGGTTTTTGGGCTTGCAGCCCCTGATATTTAAATAACACCCAAACGTGACCACGATTCGAATGCCCATACAAAGATGGCACACTAGATTCTGAACCCCACAGACTTATGAAGATGATGCGTAACACCTCTGTGAAAGGCAGCAATCCCACCCCAAACGCCTGGCCACCCAAAACGTGGGTTTTAGGTGTAGGCTTTCGAACGTAAAAGCAAAATATACCTTCTGAGCCCTTTGGGTTGAGGATTTAGGGTTTAGAACTGATTTGTGCTAGGGGCTTGGGGTTTTTGAGTTCAGGGTTTCAGGTTTTCATTTGAGGGAACTAGGAGACCGCCCCGCCGAAGCCTCAACCTTCAGCGCAACCGGCGAAGCCCAAAACATCCGTAAACCGAATCCTAAACCCTAGACGGCCCTAAGCCCCAAAGCACAAACCCTACTCCTAAACCCCCCTAAACCCTCCTAGACCCTCCTAATAAACCCTCCTAAACCCTCCTAGACCCTTCTAATAAACCCTCCTAAACCTTCCTAAACCCTCCTAAACCCTCCTAAACCCTCCTAAGCCCCAAACCCAAAACCTCCTCCTCCCCCCCCCCCCCCCCCCCCCAAGAAAAAACTATTTCCGCCGCTGCGCCAACGGACGCACTGCTGGGCGGAGAGGCCATGGGTGCTCCTCGGTCTCCATCTGGGGATTTCCGAGAACAGGGGGTACCCCAAAAAGTCCTTTGAAGGGGATTCTATTCTATTTGGGGTAGTAAACTCCTATTTGCTTAAGGGGCGCGGAATTAAATCAGGATTTTTTTTTCTCTGTGTTTTTTGGTGTTTTTGGTTGGTGCTTAGGGTTTAGGGTTTAGGGTTTAGGGCTTAGGGCTTAGGGTTGAGGGTTGAGGGTTGAGGGTTGAGGGTTGAGGGTTGAGGGTTGAGGGTTGAGGGTTGAGGGTTGAGGGTTGAGGGTTGAGGGTTGAGGGTGTCGCAGTGGTCAGCTGTGCGCAGTTGTGTGCAGACATCCCAAGATATATGACACGAACCTACAGCAAAAATAGGTTTTGGGCTCTTGGAGGTAGGAGTGTTCCTATAGATGGGCCACCCCAAGACCACCCAAACACTACTCAAAACGAACCAAACCAGAGCCAGCCAAACCAAAGCCAGCCCACATCCAAACATTTCGGCACCCAACGCTGTACTTCGGACCAACATTTAGCGCGCTAACTCATGTCATGGAGCTTGATGCCTTGTTGCAAGGTGACATTTGAGAAGATGCCTTGGAAAAGATGTTAAATGTCGAACTTTCGTCGAGCTTTCGAGAGAGAGAAAATTAGGTTTTGCGTTGTTTTCGCCGCAGGGCCTCCTCATGGTTCCATTCTCGACGTCGGGGCATCCAGGCTGCGTGGCGAAAGGCTTGTTGCTACACGCCTTGTGAAAGTCATCGCGAGAAGCTTGCGAGAGCCAAATTAACGCTTGTGTTCGGGGGTGGCCTATTTAATGTTTTTATTAGGCCGCAGGAATAGTATTATAATATAGTGTGCAAAGAGCATATTATTTTAATAGGGGGATTTTTAATAGTAATAATATGCTCTTTACGTAGTACATTCATATCTTTGTTCTCACTTCGTTCATTCATTCACTTTATTCACGTGCTTCTCTTCATTTCGCTTGTAATAAAGTTCATTGAATTCTCTTCGTACTTCTAATAACCCCGCGTGAAAAGAGAATAATAATACGCGGGAATACTAGTAATAATACCAATAAAGATAATTCATATGCACGGGTAATTGATGCGTAAGTTTCGACCGCTCAATAAAAAGAAGTAAATTTGCGGTCATTTCGTACGCATCATGTGGTTCGTTCATATTATTGTTTCGTTTCACGCGGTCACTCACTTCTTTCGTTCCTTGTAAACCCACAATAATATTCTCTTCACTTCTCATTGTTTCTATTCTCGACGTCGGGGTGTCATGGCGTTACTATGAACAGGCGTTATGAAAGTAATGTCTAGAAGCTCACCAGAGCCAAATCAGCGTTTGCGTTGGGGGGGTGTCTTCGGCCGGAGGGCCTTCTCATCGTTTTTCTTCTCTATGCCGGAGCGTAAAGGCTGCGTGGCGAAAGACCCTGATTTGCTAGAAAGACTTGCAAGAGCCAAATCAGCGTTGGCGTTGGGGGGTGTCTTGCGCCGGAGGGCCGTCTCATTGTTTTTTAAGCCTACACGACAGACCTGCCTTGCGGGACATCAATGAAGCCTTCAGCCGAGATCTTGGCAGCCTCAGGAGTGCCTGGCGGAGTCAGCAAGGGGCTTCCCAGAACCCTCCCTGGGCCTTCCAGGGGCCTCTTCGGGCCTCTCTAAGGGCCTCCCAAAACACTCTTTATCGTTGGGCCTGTCGGGTTTAGGGTTACAATATAAACAGTCACTGAGCTAGGCGACTGTAGCCTCGGGGGTGCGGTTGGGAGCCTGCAGCTCAGCAGAGCCTGCCATGGTCTCGCTGGCGCTCGACGCGCCCGCCTACCCACAGAAGGAGAGGGGCGGCGGACGGGTTTGGGTTTAGGGTTTTGGGTTTAGGGTTTTGGGGTTTTGGGTAATCTCGGGGCCAGGTTACTGAAGCCCTTGGCACAGCCCACAAAGAAACCCGGGAACCATGAGCCCTGAAATGGGTTTAGGGTATGGTTTAGGGGTAACCCAACCCTCACTGTCTGAACCCTAAACCCGGTCGCACCAGCTTTGCTCTTGCCACTCTTGCCAGAGGGTGCATGGGGGCCCCATCACCCCAGGCCCTGAACCAAAGGCAACACCCTTGCCACCTTTTGCGTCTGGCGCGATCCCCTTGCCAGCTTTTGCGCCTCACGCCGGGCTTTGAGACTGGGTTTCTCCGGTCCACTACAGAAGCTTCAATCTTGGACTTGGGGTTGTCATCGGTCGTTCTCTCCATTTGGGGTTGGGGAAGTATCATATCCCAGTTCTTCCATCCACCATTGGCACGAATGAAGCAACATACATAAAGGTTATGCCCTCTTGTATTTGCTGCTTCACATCTGTTTTTGTAATCTGACTTTCTGTTTTTGAAGTTGGTAGTATGTCCAACATAACACTCCTTGACATTCAGATCTTTACAGACAATTTCATAAAATGAGTTTGATTGTAGTTCGTGTCCTTTTTTGGCTTTATAACGTCCTATGCCACCGCCGCCGCCGCCGCCGCCGCCGCCGCCGCCGCTGCTGCTGCTGCTGCTGCGGCGGCTGCTGCTGCGGCGGCTGCGCTGCAGCCATGATCGAGCTCGAAGGCATCACAAGTAGGGGTTAGGGTTAGGGTTTACGGTATCCAAGTAGGCCTCCAAGCACGGTAGGACGTGTTATGCAACAGTCGAGGGGTTAGGGTGTTGGGGGATGTGGGGACGGGGGGGGAGGTGCCAAAAGCTGATCGCGCACAAGTAGACAGCTCGACAGGGTTTCGGGACCGGCATACTACATAGATACTCTATAATGATAAATAAATAAATACATATCTGTATATACATATATACAGATATATAGTCTTGCTTTAATGTTTATAATATACACATATATATATATATCATAATATAATATACCGATACAATATGTATATATACATATACACTCTATTTCCTGTACATACTCTGACCACTTCCTTCCTTTCTTCCTTCCTTCCTTCCTTCGTTCTGTCCTTCCTTCCTTCCTTCATTGCTTCCTTTCTTGCTTCCTCCCTTGCTTCCTTGCTCCCTTGCTTTCTTCCTTCCTTCCTTCCTTCCTCCCTTCCTTGCTTCCTTCCTTCCTTCCTCCTTCCCCCCTTTCTGCCGTACAAAAAAAGGAATTAAAAAAAAACTAAATGCAATTCCTTTGCTTAAGAACCCCCCAAAGAACATGAAAAAACAATTCCCTATAAGGGTAATATAGGGACTTAAGCAAATAGAAGTAAAAGGGGTACAGTACCCCTATTTGGGGGAAACCCCCATCTCGTGCGGTGGCTTGTAGAGGGCTTAGGGTCAAGCAGGGGTTACAGGGTTTACAGGGTTTACAGGGTTTACAGGGTTTACAGGGTTTACAGGGTTTACAGGGTTTACAGGGTTTATCTTAGTTGCTGAGTTCATAAGCCCCCAAAAAAGTGTACACTTTCAGTAATATGGGGAATTATAGCGTGTGCTCACTGAGCTGCTAAGTTAGTGGTTATAGGGTTTAAAATCCTAGGGAGTCACTCCGAGGTTCGTGGCCACGTCCTGCACCAGAGCTTCCACCAGTGGATGGGCTGACACGTCTGCCTTGGGAGGGCTTAGGGGGCTTGGGGCTTGGGGCTTAGGGGTTACGGCTGAGGGCTTAGGGCTTGAAGCACTTAGGGTTTAGGGCGGAGGGCTCAGGGCTGTTTTTGGACCGACCTGGAGGTTCATGGGGTTGGAGTTGGGGGAGAAGGCTTTGGGGGGGGCGGGGGGGGGGGGGCCTACGCGGAGCTTTTGTAGGAGCGGGTTGCAACCTTGCTTCGGAGGTTACCACCCGAACTGAAGCCTGTTCAAGCAACGCAGAGTTTTGGGTTTAGGGTTTATAGAAGTTAGGGTTTTGGGTTTAGGGTATAGGGTATAGGGTTTCGGGTTTCGGGTTTCGGGTTTCGGGTGTCGGGCGCGGTTTTATGGTTCTAGATTTTGGTCTTCTCCCAGACCCCTGGAGGATCCCAAAAGCAGATCCTCTTTAAGGGTTCCTAAAAAAATGACCCAACAGCAGAAGAGGGGGGGTTCTACTTTTGGGATCTTTTTAGAAAACTGGGCTGCTTTGGTTTCTGCATTGGGCTCTGCATAGTCTTTCAGGAGCACTAACAGTGCCCAGCATGGGCACGTACTACACCCTCTCTACCCCGAGATATTGAACATTCCCTTAAACCCTAAACCCTAAACCCTAAAACCTAAACTCTAAAACCCTAAACCCTAAACCCTAAAACCTAAACCCAATAGAGTACAACTGGGGAATATTGCGAGAATAATGAGTAGAGGCGGCCGGGGAACCCAAATTTAACCCCTAAACCCTTAGTCAACCCTGAACCCCAAGCCCTGAGCCCGGCCTGGTTACTAGATGCGGCAGAAGAGGATAGGCTGTGAATCTACCGGAGTCGGTGGGTATATGGTATAGGGTATAGGGCAGAGGGTATGGGGTCTAGGATTTAGGGTTTAGGGCGGGCCTGCGAATCTTTTGGCCAAGAGATGGGTTTGGGTTTAGGGTTTAGGGTTTAGGGTTTAGGGTTTAGGGTTTTCAGGGTTCAGGGTTCAGGGTTCAGGGTTTAGGGTTTAGGGTTTAGGGTTTAGGGTTTAGGGTTTAGGGTTTAGGGTTTAGGGTTTAGGGTTTAGGGTTTAGGGTTTAGGGTTTAGGGTTTAGCTGGGAGGATCCAAACAGTAGATTCCCTTCAAGGGTTCCGAAAGATGACCCAAGAGTGGGATAGGGCGTACTATTTGGGGGCTCTGCTTTTTGGATCCTATCTGGGGTCTGGGTAGGGGTTTAGGGACCCTAAACCCAAACCCTAAACCCTAAAATCTAAACCCTAAACCCTAAACCCTAAACCCTAAACCCTAAACCCTAAACCCTAAACCCTAAACCTCAATCCCCCAAAGCAACAATGGAGATCCCAGGGGCGCCGCTCAGCAACCCCGCCGTGGCCAAGGCCCAGGCGGCCTACGGGGGGCCGCTGGAAATCAAAGCCCAGAGGAGGTAGGGTTTAGGGTTTAGGGTTTAGTGTTTAGGGTTTAGGGTTTAGGGTTAAGGGTTAAGGGTTAAGGGTTTAGGGTTTAGGGTTTAGGGTTAAGGGTTTTTGGGGTTTGGGGTTTAGGGTTTAGGGTATAGGGTATAGGGTTTTGGGTTTGGGGTTCAGGGTTTAGGGTTTAGGGCTAGGGTTTAGGGTTTACCAAGCCATCGAGACTGCAGCTACCAAGTGCCTCCGTAACCTGTAAACCCCAAAACCTGGGCGCACGCCTGCACGAGGCGCTTCGGAAAATCGTACTGGACCATGTCGTTGTTCACCCCGTCCGGTGTCGACGCCGGTGGACTGATGCACCGGCCCGCCGATGGCCAGCAAGATGGTCTTCAAAGATCAGCCAGGCGCGCTTGATTCGGGGTATCCTGGCCCGAGCAGGCAGACCGCCGAAGTGAAGGGCGATGTGCCGGGCGTATCCCGTTGCGTTCAAGAGACACGCTTCCACCATCGTCTCACTTGCGGATCGGGTTTTGGCGAGGGCGTATACGGTCGCCGCGCAGACGCCCGTGTTGCTGGCCCCACACCCCGAAACTTGAAACCCTGTGACCAAAACCCCAAGCCCGAAACCCTAAACCCTCAACCACACACGCTTGGGCTGAAGTGCAATGGAGCGAAAAGCTTAAGGTGACACTTTGGCGATGGGGTCTGTGGTAGGAATAGGAGCTCGAGGTTTAGGATTTAGGAGTTGCGTGTAGGGCTCAGGGTCGAGGACACAGCCTCATAAGCCTCATAGTGCTACCCACACCCCAGCAAGGATCCAACAAGTAGATCCGAAAAATGATCCAAGAGTAGTATGGGGTACTATATGGCGGTTCTACTTGCTTGGATCCTCACGTCCTTTTTCTGAAGGGAATTATGGGTACCTCACATCACCCTTACAATACCCTCTCATTAATCGGATTGCATAGGGAGCGAGCATAGCGAGCATCCCACCCCCCCCCACCCACCCCAATTCCCGAGAGGGGCCTCCCCCAACAAAAGGTCTCCGCGATGCGGGCAGCCCGCAGCCACGCCGGCCCAGCCTTTCCAGTTGGAAGTTCTTTTACAGGGTGACTCATGGGAGGGGGTTTGGTTTGGGTTTAGGGGTTTAGGGGTCTCGCGCTCAGGGTCAAGCCCAAGAACCCCCAACCGACCCCGCCGAAAAAAACCTAAATACCCTAAACCAAAAACCCGAAACCCTAAACCCTGACTCGCCTCCTCCCAACTCCACCAGGGCGCGCAGCGCAGAAGAGCTGTGGGGGCTGCGTAAGGCGTCCTTCCGGGCGCTTTGGGGGCCGGAAGCCGAGAGATGTGAAGAGGGTTTAGGGTTTAAGGGCTACGGGTTACGGGTTTAGGGTGTAGGGTTTAGGGTTAGGGTTTGGGGTTTAGGTAGGGTTCAGGGTTCAGGGTTCAGGGTTTAGGGTTCAGGGTTCAGGGTTCAGGGTTCAGGGTTTAGGGTTTAGGGTTTAGGGTTTAGGGTTTAGGGTTTAGGGTTTAGGGTTTAGGGTTTAGGGTTTAGGGTTTAGGGTTTAGGGTTTAGGGTTTAGGGTTTAGGGTTTAGGGGTTTCGGATTCAGGGTTTCGGGTTTCGGACATCAGGGTTGAGGGTTCAGGGTTTAGGGCTTCAGGTTGAGGGGTGTCAGGACTTCATAATTTTGGGCTTGATAGCCTTAGTTTTAGGGCTTTAGAACTTCAGGGTTTAAGCCTAGGGCCCTCTATTTGGACTTTTGGAATCGTGCGAAAGCTGGAGCTCCACCTCCCTGCCTGCGGCCCTAAACTCTACCAACCCTAAACCTGAAACTCTTAGAACGCGAGTGCAGAGGTCAAAAAAACCAGGGCTGAAACGGTTGAAGATCTAAAGCCTCTTGCAAGCCATGTCCCATTTACCTTAGTCCCCGATCCTCCCTAACCCTGAACCCTACACCCCGGACTGCTTAAGGCCTCCTTCTGTGTACCACTTTTTGGGAGCCTTATGGGTTTAGGGTTTAGGGTTGGGCTGATGTATATCCCCCCCCCCCCCTACTTTTTGTAGATGTTCTACACTACTCCACACAATCGTCCAAGAGTGCAAGCAGACATAGTTCAGGACGAGGCACCTTGGCTGTCGCATAAAAGCATGCCGAGCGACTAACCCTTACACACAAGTGGCTTTTGGAGCTTCGCAAAACCCCATGACCACATCTGCCGGCCGGAGTCTTTTGTTCCCCGGAGCCAGAATACACTCTGTGCCAGAACCCGCCCGTTTGGGTTTGAAACACTAGACATTTATGCTCATGAGATTGTTCGCACAAGGGCCGCCATTCGACATGGCGAGACCGCGAAAAACATCAAGCATATTGTCCCCCACATTAATGTAGAATACGTACTCATCCATCTCATGAGCATCAATATGGAGCTTGCCATGCCTGGCACGAGACCATGCCTTTAGCCTGCTGTTCTCGCTCGCTTTCAGCATCATTGGTGTGGAACCCTGTCACACGATCCCGGAACCATTTCTCATGGTTTACAGGGGGAGCACATTTGTACCCCAAAGCGTTCACGGCCTTGTTAGTTGCAGCCCACCCATCAAAAACGAGATAGCTGCCCTTTACCACCCTAGACTGTACAGTTGCACTCATTTCCTGAAATCCACGAGGTTTTCCTTGGCTTGCTTGAGAGCTGCGGGGAAGAAGACGGTATGTGACTCGTTTTTTCCTGTTTGCGCGCGTGAAGACTGCCTTCCCCTTGCCGACCACGACAGCAACCCAAAGCCACTTGCCGTTCTTCTTCAAGTTAGCAGAGGGTTTCTTGGCAATCTTGGCGGGATGCGCCTTGGCAGGTTTCTTGAGAACAGACGAAGGTTTCTTCTGCACCCTGGAGACTGAAGCGGGCTTCTTCTTGATGAGGATAGACGAGGAGGACACTGCTTTCTCACCAGGTAGGAGAGTTCGAGCTGGAAGTCTTTTCATAGCACCATGGTGGACGAGCTTGTTGACATCCTTTCGTTCTGATTTGCGGTTTTGCTCCGCGCCTGCTTTGTTGATTCCTTTTGACCCCAATGCCCAGCCGTCTTCTGGATGTATCCCGACGATGCACTCGTCTAACACCACGACCTCATTTCGCCCTCCAACTTTCAAAGCCCCCATCTCATGTAGAGCTCCTCCAAGAGCCTCTTGATAAATGGCCCTCCATCGCCTCAAGGTAGCCACGCAGATGTTACCGTACCCAGCCTGCAGCTCTTGAATGATCGCTTTGTAGCTGCGACCAAGCCGAAGAAGGTTCATGAAATGTAGGAAAGGCATCCATGAGTTGACAGGGACTTTGGTCAGGAACCCGAACTTGTTGAGATTGAGCTCCATGTGCTTGTGGCCCACACGCTTGCAAGTGTAGCCATACGTGGTCCACCCGCGCGAAGTCCGTTCTTCGAAGGAAGCTTCCTTTCCACATCGGGTGCACTTCTTGATCTGGAAGGCAATTCCAAATCTCATGAAGATAGCGATTGCACGGACGGTGAGAGAGACGCAGTCTCCATGTGGGTCGAGTACTGGCCGATGTAGCACGAACTTTTGGAAGGCTGTGTCGGAAGCAAACCACTTCTCGGAAATCTCCGTCTGCCACTCCTTGAAGGTACAAGAAGGTAGTTCGCTTTCATGAAGTCCGGGCTGGCGCGCACGCTTCGGCATGATAGACTTATCTATGATGCGCAATCAGGACTCTGGTTGTCCTGCGACATGGAAGCTTGCATTGTTAGCCTTCAGACGAGTCACGAGAGTGAACAGCTACATACCGTGGGCGCGTGCTACATGGAGCCTACAGGACAGTGACGATAGTGAACAGCTACATACCGTGGGCGCATGGAGCCTACAGGACAGTGACGGTGGGCACGTGCTACATGGAGCCTACAGGACAGTGACGATGGTACACATGCACTTACCCCTGCAAGGACTCAACGGGACTCAAAAGACTTACAGCATATGCGTGCTTTTTTTCTCCGTGAGTACAGACCGCCCAGGCTCAAAATTTTCATAGAGACCCGCTGTGGCTAGGGTGTCTAGCTCAGGTTCAGCCATGCAAGATCAAGGCGGCCTCCTCTTCTGGATCCAATAGCTGCGTCTCTTCTTGGTCCGGCAGAACCTTTTGACGGGAAGACGAAGACGGCATGGACTTCACCTCGGGGCCTGCAGCGTGGAACTCCTCTACGGGGACTGCGACAGATGTCTTGCTTGTCAGGCGACGCTTCGTGGAAGGTAGGTTGAATTGCCCAAGTCGACCTGGTGGCTTCGTGCAGCGAACTGGTAACGCTTCTGGGTCGGGGACTGGTACGCGAGCTTCTTCATCGGTTGATGGAGACGACGGTAGATGTACTGGGCGCGATGACGGGCTAAGCTTGGACGCAATGGTTGAGTTGACATCCGAGATGTAAACTTCCGGGAGGCCGGCCGCCTGAAGCGACTCCATTCCCCTGTGTAGCATCTCTTGTTCCACCTCCACATCATCAGCAAAGGTCGGGGGTAATTCGTGGATGCCTTGCTTGTACTTGGCGTAGTAAGGCTTGTCTCTATCTGAGAAAAGATCCCCATGCAAATCGTCAATCCGAATCAAGTGGATGGGAGCGTCTTTCTCTCCACTGGGTAGGCGGAGGTACAACGCACGCTTGCCGAAGACGAGGACGACGGTCCTTTTAAGAATGGCGAGAACATCGAGGTCTGGGTAGGAGCAAAAGAACTTCTGCACGAGCTTGTAAAACTCGTCCCACGTGATGGATGTTTGCCATCGCTCGCTCAAGGGTTCATCCTCCTCTTTGAGATTGTTTGAGGACAACGCTCGCATTCCATTCCGGACGAGCTTGACGTCATTGTAGCGCCCCGAACAATTTTGGTCCTCCTCTGATGTCAGCCATGACTTCATGTCAGCCGCATCGAGTTTCTCCACCGATGAATCGTCTAGTATGAGGCCTTCGTGAACCTGTCCAGTTTTGTGGCGAAAGTTGTCGATCGCTTTCGCTCGCCGCCAAGCTGGACGAACACCTTCAAGACCGAGACGAGTGATGTGATACCTACCAATTGCGAGGCACAACAAGATAAGGAATGGAGTTTTCCCCACCCCGGGCCAGCCAAGCGTGATCATTCCATAGGAGGTCAGGAGTGGCATGACGAGTGGTAGAAGGAAGGTGCTCATCCAGGGCTTCACGCTTCGCACGGTCATCGGAAAGAAGCTCAAGGAAGTAGCCCCGGCAGTGCCTCTGCTCTTGTTTTGTGCCATGCGAAGGACCTTAGATTCCGGCCAGTTGCTGATGGGGGACCCGCTGTGCGAGTGGATGTTCCGCAAAATCCAAACGTACTGCTGGTTCTCCGAGTCGTCCTCTGGCGCGTTCTTGTTGATGTAGTCTACCCCTGCCATGAGTTCCTCATCCTCCACAGACCATGCCTGGGTTGAAGAACGACTGACCTCTGGCTTGTCCTTCTTGTTGTTCAGAGACCACCACACTACGTGATGGCCTGGAAGACGGTCAAGTAAGGAGTGGACTGCTTTATTCCATGCCCATGGGCCTTGCCGCCATGCAGGGAAATGCGCTTTTCCACTACACAAACCCACCGCATATTTCACAGAGGTCTTGCTCGCAAACTTGAAGACACGGACTACATTCATAGTGCCGTCCTCGAGGTTGTGCATGATGTAGGACACGGCGGCGTCACGGGGCATGGAGTCGGAAGGGCGTAGTTGCGGTGGAAGCAAGCTGTAGTCGTGCTGGACGATCTTTTCAGAAATGGTTGCGAGGTTGCCAATCTCGGTCATGCCGACGTGGACGTCCAAGATCATGGTACACGTCTTGGATGCTAAGTCTGTCCTGCAGGAATATGTCAGGAGATCCTGCAACTCCAGGTTGCCGTCCACGTTGTTGGTGTATGTTGGACGAGGCAGCTCGGTCAGGACCCAATCTTTTGAGCCGTACTTGGTCATAGCTTCATCCAACACGCGTGGCTGGGGCGGCATCTGAAGTGGCAGGAACTGGACTTCTTTGTACACAAATGTTAGGCCAGTGTGCCTGAAACAAGACATAAAGCAGACGAATACGTTTTCAGCAGTGTCAGGCAACAGCTCGCACACACAAGGTGCAGACATGAATGTTTCTTTTTTTCATCGACCGCAAAGAGCATGAGCTCCGTCATGCTTGTCATATATCAAAGAGCATGAGCTTCGTCATGCTATCGGCTCTCTAGGCTTACTTGTTCAGGCCAAGGGCGTCGTTTGCCAGGTACAAGTCCTGCGACACTTCGGCGAGGTCCTGCTGGAGTACGTTAATCTGCTTGCGAAGCTGGCTCCTGGTTGTTGGCGACGACGACGAAGATGAGGACGAACACGGGGACGCGGCCTGCGCTACTTCGATGGGTTCGCTGCGATTTGTGTTGGCTCCAGTGCCCTCCACCACCGGGGGTGGCCCGATGTCATCAATGTGAACCTCTTCTGTGGGTAGTTCCGCTTGTGCCTCACTCATGTCCATGTTCATGGGCATCATGACGGGCATGGCATGGATGTTGTCCTGATGCTTGTTGTCGTTCCCAATGGCGGGGACATCGGGCTCGTTCGTGTTCATGGGCACAATGACCGGCATGGCATGGAGGTCTTCCTGATGCTCGTTGTCGTTCCCAATGGCTGGGCGACTCTCCTTATCGGGGATAGCAGCTTGTTGCTTTCGTCCAGCACGCTTGGCTTTGAGCAGGGTGTCCTGCAAGCGATTGTCGGCACTCAATGACCACGGAGGCGATGGATGACGAAGACCAAATGACAATTGGATGTTGTTGATCATGACGCGTATGTCGTGTGCAGAGAGCGGGAGCCTGGACTCGTGTCCCCGCGGGTTACTTTTGCAAGTACTTCCTCAGCATCTGGAACCTTGTGCACGTAAATGTGAGGCTCTCCAGGTTTGCTACGCTTCTTGACGGGTTCTGATGGAGACAACGTCAGTCTCACCTTCTGGCCCTTGAGGCATGCCCTGCCCGTAACCTTGAAACCATCCATTGCTCGACTAAGAGCTTCCGAAATCTACTTTCTGTCTTACTGGCTTGAGTTTGGAAAAATCACACACTATATATGCTGACGCCATGAAGTTGCATCCTCATGTTATCCTACCATGCATAAACACAACAAACCACAGGCCATACATAACAATCTCCAGGTCACAGCCGCAGTGCAGTCGAGAGACCTCGCAGGCATAATTAATCCAGGACGACTACCAATATTGAATATTGAAAAAAAAGTTCAATATTCAATACCGGGCAGAATCCAAGATCCAAGATCCAAGATGCCCAGGGACTCTTGGGGGGCAATCTTGGATACCACCCCCTGGGCCCGGTATCCAAGATTGCCCCCCAAGAGTCCCTGGGCATCTTGGATCTTGGATCTTGGATTCCCACCCAATATTGAATATCGAAAAAAAAGTTCAATATTCAATATCGGGCAGAATCCAAGATCCAAGATCCAAGATGCCCAGGGACTCTTGGGGGCAATCTTGGATACCACCCCCGGGCCCGGTATCCAAGATTGCCTCCCAAAAGTCCCTGGGCATCTTGGATCTTGGATCTTGGATTCCCACCCAATATTGAATATTGAAAAAAAGTTCAATATTCAATATTGGTTGCTAGAAGGCTCAATCCCTTACAGGCTCAATCCCTTACATCTGAACACGGTTATCTTCAAGAATGCAAGTCCCTTAGACATTAATAGGGTTTTGTGGTTTAGGGTTAAAGGTTTAGGGTTTGAAAAAACTTAACATTTAAACTTAACAGAGGCAAATCCTCACGATTGGCTAAAAAAGCAGGGGGGGGGATACACACGTACCCTTAGGGGGCTGATGTATATCCCCCCCCCCCCCTACTTTTTGTAGATGTTCTACACTACTCCACACAATCGTCCAAGAGTGCAAGCAGACATAGTTCAGGACGAGGCACCTTGGCTGTCGCATAAAAGCACGCCGAGCGACTAACCCTTACACACAAGTGGCTTTTGGAGCTTCGCAAAACCCCATGACCACATCTGCCGGCCGGAGTCTTTTGTTCCCCGGAGCCAGAATACACTCTGTGCCAGAACCCGCCCGTTTGGGTTTGAAACACTAGACATTTATGCTCATGAGATTGTTCGCACAAGGGCCGCCATTCGACATGGCGAGACCGCGAAAAACATCAAGCATATTGTCCCCCACATTAATGTAGAACACGTACTCATCCATCTCATGAGCATCAATATGGAGCTTGCCATACCTGGCACGAGACCATGCCTTTAGCCTGCTGTTCTCGCTTTCAGCATCATTGGTGTGGAACCCTGTCACACGATCCCGGAACCATTTCTCATGGTTTACAGGGGGAGCACATTTGTACCCGAAAGCGTTCACGGCCTTGTTAGTTGCAGCCCACCCATCAAAAACGAGATAGCTGCCCTTTACCACCCTAGATTGTACAGTTGCACTCATTTCCTGAAATCCACGAGGTTTTCCTTGGCTTGCTTGAGAGCTGCGGGGAAGAAGACGGTATGTGACTCGTTTTTTCCTGTTTGCGTGCGTGAAGACTGCCTTCCCCTTGCCGACCACGACAGCAACCCAAAGCCACTTGCCGTTCTTCTTCAAGTTAGCAGAGGGTTTCTTGGCAATCTTGGCGGGATGCGCCTTGGCAGGCTTCTTGAGAACAGACGAAGGTTTCTTCTGCACCCTGGAGACTGAAGCGGGCTTCTTCTTGATGAGGATAGACGAGGAGGACACTGCTTTCTCACCAGGTAGGAGAGTTCGAGCTGGAAGTCTTTTCATAGCACCATGGTGGACGAGCTTGTTGACATCCTTTCGTTCTGATTTGCGGTTTTGCTCCGCGCCTGCTTTGTTGATTCCTTTTGACCCCAATGCCCAGCCGTCTTCTGGATGTATCCCGACGATGCACTCGTCTAACACCACGACCTCATTTCGCCCTCCAACTTTCAAAGCCCCCATCTCATGTAGAGCTCCTCCAAGAGCCTCTTGATAAATGGCCCTCCATCGCCTCAAGGTAGCCACGCAGATGTTACCGTACCCAGCCTGCAGCTCTTGAATGATCGCTTTGTAGCTGCGACCAAGCCGAAGAAGGTTCATGAAATGTAGGAAAGGCATCCATGAGTTGACAGGGACTTTGGTCAGGAACCCGAACTTGTTGAGATTGAGCTCCATGTGCTTGTGGCCCACACGCTTGCAAGTGTAGCCATACGTGGTCCACCCGCGCGAAGTCCGTTCTTCGAAGGAAGCTTCCTTTCCACATCGGGTGCACTTCTTGATCTGGAAGGCAATTCCAAATCTCATGAAGATAGCGATTGCACGGACGGTGAGAGAGACGCAGTCTCCATGTGGGTCGAGTACTGGCCGATGTAGCACGAACTTTTGGAAGGCTGTGTCGGAAGCAAACCACTTCTCGGAAATCTCCGTCTGCCACTCCTTGAAGGTACAAGAAGGTAGTTCGCTTTCATGAAGTCCGGGCTGGCGCGCACGCTTCGGCATGATAGACTTATCTATGATGCACAATCAGGACTCTGGTTGTCCTGCGACATGGAAGCTTGCATTGTTAGCCTTCAGACGAGTCACGAGAGTGAACAGCTACATACCGTGGGCGCGTGCTACATGGAGCCTACAGGACAGTGACGATAGTGAACAGCTACATACCGTGGGCGCATGGAGCCTACAGGACAGTGACGGTGGGCACGTGCTACATGGAGCCTACAGGACAGTGACGATGGTACACATGCACTTACCCCTGCAAGGACTCAACGGGACTCAAAAGGCTTACAGCATATGCGTGCTTTTTTTTCTCCGTGAGTACAGACCGCCCAGGCTCAAAATTTTCATAGAGACCCGCTGTGGCTAGGGTGTCTAGCTCAGGTTCAGCCATGCAAGATCAAGGCGGCCTCCTCTTCTGGATCCAATAGCTGCGTCTCTTCTTGGTCCGGCAGAACCTTTTGACGAAGACGGCATGGACTTCACCTCGGGGCCTGCAGCGTGGAACTCCTCTACGGGGACTGCGACAGATGTCTTGCTTGTCAGGCGACGCTTCGTGGAAGGTAGGTTGAATTGCCCAAGTCGACCTGGTGGCTTCGTGCAGCGAACTGGTAACGCTTCTGGGTCGGGGACTGGTACGCGAGCTTCTTCATCGGTTGATGGAGACGACGGTAGATGTACTGGGCGCGATGACGGGCTAAGCTTGGACGCAATGGTTGAGTTGACATCCGAGATGTAAACTTCCGGGAGGCCGGCCGCCTGAAGCGACTCCATTCCCTTGTTCCACCTCCACATCATCAGCAAAGGTCGGGGGTAATTCGTGGATGCCTTGCTTGTACTTGGCGTAGTAAGGCTTGTCTCTATCTGAGAAAAGATCCCCATGCAAATCGTCAATCCGAATCAAGTGGATGGGAGCGTCTTTCTCTCCACTGGGTAGGCGGAGGTACAACGCACGCTTGCCGAAGACGAGGACGACGGTCCTTTTAAGAATGGCGAGAACATCGAGGTCTGGGTAGGAGCAAAAGAACTTCTGCACGAGCTTGTAAAACTCGTCCCACGTGATGGATGTTTGCCATCGCTCGCTCAAGGGTTCATCCTCCTCTTTGAGATTGTTTGAGGACAACGCTCGCATTCCATTCCGGACGAGCTTGACGTCATTGTAGCGCCCCGAACAATTTTGGTCCTCCTCTGATGTCAGCCATGACTTCATGTCAGCCGCATCGAGTTTCTCCACCGATGGATCGTCTAGTATGAGGCCTTCGTGAACCTGTCCAGTTTTGTGGCGAAAGTTGTCGATCGCTTTCGCTCGCCGCCAAGCTGGACGAACACCTTCAAGACCGAGACGAGTGATGTGATACCTACCAATTGCGAGGCACAACAAGATAAGGAATGGAGTTTTCCCCACCCCGGGCCAGCCAAGCGTGATCATTCCATAGGAGGTCAGGAGTGGCATGACGAGTGGTAGAAGGAAGGTGCTCATCCAGGGCTTCACGCTTCGCACGGTCATCGGAAAGAAGCTCAAGGAAGTAGCCCCGGCAGTGCCTCTGCTCTTGTTTTGTGCCATGCGAAGGACCTTAGATTCCGGCCAGTTGCTGATGGGGGACCCGCTGTGCGAGTGGATGTTCCGCAAAATCCAAACGTACTGCTGGTTCTCCGAGTCGTCCTCTGGCGCGTTCTTGTTGATGTAGTCTACCCCTGCCATGAGTTCCTCATCCTCCACAGACCATGCCTGGGTTGAAGAACGACTGACCTCTGGCTTGTCCTTCTTGTTGTTCAGAGACCACCACACTACGTGATGGCCTGGAAGACGGTCAAGTAAGGAGTGGACTGCTTTATTCCATGCCCATGGGCCTTGCCGCCATGCAGGGAAATGCGCTTTTCCACTACACAAACCCACCGCATATTTCACAGAGGTCTTGCTCGCAAACTTGAAGACACGGACTACATTCATAGCGCCGTCCTCGAGGTTGCGCATGATGTAGGACACGGCGGCGTCACGGGGCATGGAGTCGGAAGGGCGTAGTTGCGGTGGAAGCAAGCTGTAGTCGTGCTGGACGATCTTTTCAGAAATGGTTGCGAGGTTGCCAATCTCGGTCATGCCGACGTGGACGTCCAAGATCACGGTACACGTCTTGGATGCTAAGTCTGTCCTGCAGGAATATGTCAGGAGATCCTGCAACTCCAGGTTGCCGTCCAAGTTGTTGGTGTATGTTGGACGAGGCAGCTCGGTCAGGACCCAATCTTTTGAGCCGTACTTGGTCATAGCTTCATCCAACATGCGTGGCTGGGGCGGCATCTGAAGTGGCAGGAACTGGACTTCTTTGTACACAAATGTTAGGCCAGTGTGCTTGAAACAAGACATAAAGCAGACGAATACGTTTTCAGCAGTGTCAGGCAACAGCTCGCACACACAAGGTGCAGACATGAATGTTTCTTTTTTTCATCGACCGCAAAGAGCATGAGCTCCGTCATGCTTGTCATATATCAAAGAGCATGAGCTTCGTCATGCTATCGGCTCTCTAGGCTTACTTGTTCAGGCCAAGGGCGTCCGTCGTTTGCCAGGTACAAGTCCTGCGACATTTCGGCGAGGTCCTGCTGGAGTACGTTAATCTGCTTGCGAAGCTGGCTCTTGGTTGTAGAAGAGGATGACGACGACGACGAAGATGAGGACGAACACGGGGACGCGGCCTGCGCTACTTCGATGGGTTCGCTGCGATTTGCGTTGGCTCCAGTGCCCTCCACCACCGGGGGTGGCCCGATGTCATCAATGTGAACCTCTTCTGTGGGTAGTTCCGCTTGTGCCTCACTCATGTCCATGTTCATGGGCATCATGACGGGCATGGCATGGATGTTGTCCTGATGCTTGTTGTCGTTCCCAATGGCGGGGACATCGGGCTCGTTCGTGTTCATGGGCACAATGACCGGCATGGCATGGAGGTCTTCCTGATGCTCGTTGTCGTTCCCAATGGCTGGGCGACTCTCCTTATCGGGGATAGCAACTTGTTGCTTTCGTCCAGCACGCTTGGCTTTGAGCAGGGTGTCCTGCAAGCGATTGTCGGCACTCAATGACCACGGAGGCGATGGATGACGAAGACCAAATGACAATTGGATGTTGTTGATCATGACGCGTATGTCGTGTGCAGAGAGCGGGAGCCTGGACTCGTGGCACTGCAGGTCCCCGCGGGTTACTTTTGCAAGTACTTCCTCAGCATCTGGAACCTTGTGCACGTAAATGTGAGGCTCTCCAGGTTTGCTACGCTTCTTGACGGGTTCTGATGGAGATAACGTCAGTCTCACCTTCTGGCCCTTGAGGCATGCCCTGCCCGTAACCTTGAAACCATCCATTGCTCGACTAAGAGCTTCCGAAATCTACTTTCTGTCTTACTGGCTTGAGTTTGGAAAAATCACACACTATATATGCTGACGCCATGAAGTTGCATCCTCATGTTATCCTACCATGCATAAAACACAACAAACCACAGGCCATACATAACAATCTCCAGGTCACAGCCGCAGTGCAGTCGAGAGACCTCGAAGGCATAATTAATCCAGGACGACTACCAATATTGAATATTGAAAAAAAAGTTCAATATTCAATACCGGGCAGAATCCAAGATCCAAGATCCAAGATGCCCAGGGACTCTTGGGGGGCAATCTTGGATACCACCCCCGGGCCCGGTATCCAAGATTGCCCCCCAAGAGTCCCTGGGCATCTTGGATCTTGGATCTTGGATTCCCACCCAATATTGAATATTGAAAAAAAAGTTCAATATTCAATATTGGTTGCTAGAAGGCTCAATCCCTTACAGGCTCAATCCCTTACATCTGAACACGGTTATCTTCAAGAATGCAAGTCCCTTAGACATTAATAGGGTTTTGTGGTTTAGGGTTAAAGGTTTAGGGTTTGAAAAAACTTAACATTTAAACTTAACAGAGGCAAATCCTCACGATTGGCTAAAAAAGCAGGGGGGGGGATATACACGTACTCTTAGGGGGCTGATGTATATCCCCCCCCCCCTACTTTTTGTAGATGTTCTACACTACTCCACACAATCGTCCAAGAGTGCAAGCAGACATAGTTCAGGACGAGGCACCTTGGCTGTCGCATAAAAGCACGCCGAGCGACTAACCCTTACACACAAGTGGCTTTTGGAGCTTCGCAAAACCCCATGACCACATCTGCCGGCCGGAGTCTTTTGTTCCCCGGAGCCAGAATACACTCTGTGCCAGAACCCGCCCGTTTGGGTTTGAAACACTAGACATTTATGCTCATGAGATTGTTCGCACAAGGGCCGCCATTCGACATGGCGAGACCGCGAAAAACATCAAGCATATTGTCCCCCACATTAATGTAGAACACGTACTCATCCATCTCATGAGCATCAATATGGAGCTTGCCATACCTGGCACGAGACCATGCCTTTAGCCTGCTGTTCTCGCTTTCAGCATCATTGGTGTGGAACCCTGTCACACGATCCCGGAACCATTTCTCATGGTTTACAGGGGGAGCACATTTGTACCCCAAAGCGTTCACGGCCTTGTTAGTTGCAGCCCACCCATCAAAAACGAGATAGCTGCCCTTTACCACCCTAGACTGTACAGTTGCACTCATTTCCTGAAATCCACGAGGTTTTCCTTGGCTTGCTTGAGAGCTGCGGGGAAGAAGACGGTATGTGACTCGTTTTTTCCTGTTTGCGTGCGTGAAGACTGCCTTCCCCTTGCCGACCACGACAGCAACCCAAAGCCACTTGCCGTTCTTCTTCAAGTTAGCAGAGGGTTTCTTGGCAATCTTGGCGGGATGCGCCTTGGCAGGTTTCTTGAGAACAGACGAAGGTTTCTTCTGCACCCTGGAGACTGAAGCGGGCTTCTTCTTGATGAGGATAGACGAGGAGGACACTGCTTTCTCACCAGGTAGGAGAGTTCGAGCTGGAAGTCTTTTCATAGCACCATGGTGGACGAGCTTGTTGACATCCTTTCGTTCTGATTTGCGGTTTTGCTCCGCGCCTGCTTTGTTGATTCCTTTTGACCCCAATGCCCAGCCGTCTTCTGGATGTATCCCGACGATGCACTCGTCTAACACCACGACCTCATTTCGCCCTCCAACTTTCAAAGCCCCCATCTCATGTAGAGCTCCTCCAAGAGCCTCTTGATAAATGGCCCTCCATCGCCTCAAGGTAGCCACGCAGATGTTACCGTACCCAGCCTGCAGCTCTTGAATGATCGCTTTGTAGCTGCGACCAAGCCGAAGAAGGTTCATGAAATGTAGGAAAGGCATCCATGAGTTGACAGGGACTTTGGTCAGGAACCCGAACTTGTTGAGATTGAGCTCCATGTGCTTGTGGCCCACACGCTTGCAAGTGTAGCCATACGTGGTCCACCCGCGCGAAGTCCGTTCTTCGAAGGAAGCTTCCTTTCCACATCGGGTGCACTTCTTGATCTGGAAGGCAATTCCAAATCTCATGAAGATAGCGATTGCACGGACGGTGAGAGAGACGCAGTCTCCATGTGGGTCGAGTACTGGCCGATGTAGCACGAACTTTTGGAAGGCTGTGTCGGAAGCAAACCACTTCTCGGAAATCTCCGTCTGCCACTCCTTGAAGGTACAAGAAGGTAGTTCGCTTTCATGAAGTCCGGGCTGGCGCGCACGCTTCGGCATGATAGACTTATCTATGATGCACAATCAGGACTCTGGTTGTCCTGCGACATGGAAGCTTGCATTGTTAGCCTTCAGACGAGTCACGAGAGTGAACAGCTACATACCGTGGGCGCGTGCTACATGGAGCCTACAGGACAGTGACGATAGTGAACAGCTACATACCGTGGGCGCATGGAGCCTACAGGACAGTGACGGTGGGCACGTGCTACATGGAGCCTACAGGACAGTGACGATGGTACACATGCACTTACCCCTGCAAGGACTCAACGGGACTCAAAAGACTTACAGCATATGCGTGCTTTTTTTTCTCCGTGAGTACAGACCGCCCAGGCTCAAAATTTTCATAGAGACCCGCTGTGGCTAGGGTGTCTAGCTCAGGTTCAGCCATGCAAGATCAAGGCGGCCTCCTCTTCTGGATCCAATAGCTGCGTCTCTTCTTGGTCCGGCAGAACCTTTTGACGGGAAGACGAAGACGGCATGGACTTCACCTCGGGGCCTGCAGCGTGGAACTCCTCTACGGGGACTGCGACAGATGTCTTGCTTGTCAGGCGACGCTTCGTGGAAGGTAGGTTGAATTGCCCAAGTCGACCTGGTGGCTTCGTGCAGCGAACTGGTAACGCTTCTGGGTCGGGGACTGGTACGCGAGCTTCTTCATCGGTTGATGGAGACGACGGTAGATGTACTGGGCGCGATGACGGGCTAAGCTTGGACGCAATGGTTGAGTTGACATCCGAGATGTAAACTTCCGGGAGGCCGGCCGCCTGAAGCGACTCCATTCCCCTGTGTAGCATCTCTTGTTCCACCTCCACATCATCAGCAAAGGTCGGGGGTAATTCGTGGATGCCTTGCTTGTACTTGGCGTAGTAAGGCTTGTCTCTATCTGAGAAAAGATCCCCATGCAAATCAATCCGAATCAAGTGGATGGGAGCGTCTTTCTCTCCACTGGGTAGGCGGAGGTACAACGCACGCTTGCCGAAGACGAGGACGACGGTCCTTTTAAGAATGGCGAGAACATCGAGGTCTGGGTAGGAGCAAAAGAACTTCTGCACGAGCTTGTAAAACTCGTCCCACGTGATGGATGTTTGCCATCGCTCGCTCAAGGGTTCATCCTCCTCTTTGAGATTGTTTGAGGACAACGCTCGCATTCCATTCCGGACGAGTTTGACGTCATTGTAGCGCCCCGAACAATTTTGGTCCTCCTCTGATGTCAGCCATGACTTCATGTCAGCCGCATCGAGTTTCTCCACCGATGGATCGTCTAGTATGAGGCCTTCGTGAACCTGTCCAGTTTTGTGGCGAAAGTTGTCGATCGCTTTCGCTCGCCGCCAAGCTGGACGAACACCTTCAAGACCGAGACGAGTGATGTGATACCTACCAATTGCGAGGCACAACAAGATAAGGAATGGAGTTTTCCCCACCCCGGGCCAGCCAAGCGTGATCATTCCATAGGAGGTCAGGAGTGGCATGACGAGTGGTAGAAGGAAGGTGCTCATCCAGGGCTTCACGCTTCGCACGGTCATCGGAAAGAAGCTCAAGGAAGTAGCCCCGGCAGTGCCTCTGCTCTTGTTTTGTGCCATGCGAAGGACCTTAGATTCCGGCCAGTTGCTGATGGGGGACCTGCTGTGCGAGTGGATGTTCCGCAAAATCCAAACGTACTGCTGGTTCTCCGAGTCGTCCTCTGGCGCGTTCTTGTTGATGTAGTCTACCCCTGCCATGAGTTCCTCATCCTCCACAGACCATGCCTGGGTTGAAGAACGACTGACCTCTGGCTTGTCCTTCTTGTTGTTCAGAGACCACCACACTACGTGATGGCCTGGAAGACGGTCAAGTAAGGAGTGGACTGCTTTATTCCATGCCCATGGGCCTTGCCGCCATGCAGGGAAATGCGCTTTTCCACTACACAAACCCACCGCATATTTCACAGAGGTCTTGCTCGCAAACTTGAAGACACGGACTACATTCATAGCGCCGTCCTCGAGGTTGTGCATGATGTAGGACACGGCGGCGTCACGGGGCATGGAGTCGGAAGGGCGTAGTTGCGGCGGAAGCAAGCTGTAGTCGTGCTGGACGATCTTTTTCAGAAATGGTTGCGAGGTTGCCAATCTCGGTCATGCCGACGTGGACGTCCAAGATCATGGTACACGTCTTGGATGCTAAGTCTGTCCTGCAGGAATATGTCAGGAGATCCTGCAACTCCAGGTTGCCGTCCACGTTGTTGGTGTATGTTGGACGAGGCAGCTCGGTCAGGACCCAATCTTTTGAGCCGTACTTGGTCATAGCTTCATCCAACATGCGTGGCTGGGGCGGCATCTGAAGTGGCAGGAACTGGACTTCTTTGTACACAAATGTTAGGCCAGTGTGCTTGAAACAAGACATAAAGCAGACGAATATGTTTTCAGCAGTGTCAGGCAACAGCTCGCACACACAAGGTGCAGACATGAATGTTTCTTTTTCATCGACCGCAAAGAGCATGAGCTCCGTCATGCTTGTCATATATCAAAGAGCATGAGCTTCGTCATGCTATCGGCTCTCTAGGCTTACTTGTTCAGGCCAAGGGCGTCGTTTGCCAGGTACAAGTCCTGCGACACTTCGGCGAGGTCCTGCTGGAGTACGTTAATCTGCTTGCGAAGCTGGCTCTTGGTTGTAGAAGAGGATGACGACGACGACGAAGATGAGGACGAACACGGGGACGCGGCCTGCGCTACTTCGATGGGTTCGCTGCGATTTGCGTTGGCTCCAGTGCCCTCCACCACCGGGGGTGGCCCGATGTCATCAATGTGAACCTCTTCTGTGGGTAGTTCCGCTTGTGCCTCACTCATGTCCATGTTCATGGGCATCATGACGGGCATGGCATGGATGTTGTCCTGATGCTTGTTGTCGTTTCCAATGGCGGGGACATCGGGCTCGTTCGTGTTCATGGGCACAATGACCGGCATGGCATGGAGGTCTTCCTGATGCTCGTTGTCGTTCCCAATGGCTGGGCGACTCTCCTTATCGGGGATAGCAGCTTGTTGCTTTCGTCCAGCACGCTTGGCTTTGAGCAGGGTGTCCTGCAAGCGATTGTCGGCACTCAATGACCACGGAGGCGATGGATGACGAAGACCAAATGACAATTGGATGTTGTTGATCATGACGCGTATGTCGTGTGCAGAGAGCGGGAGCCTGGACTCGTGGCACTGCAGGTCCCCGCGGGTTACTTTTGCAAGTACTTCCTCAGCATCTGGAACCTTGTGCACGTAAATGTGAGGCTCTCCAGGTTTGCTACGCTTCTTGACGGGTTCTGATGGAGATAACGTCAGTCTCACCTTCTGGCCCTTGAGGCATGCCCTGCCCGTAACCTTGAAACCATCCATTGCTCGACTAAGAGCTTCCGAAATCTACTTTCTGTCTTACTGGCTTGAGTTTGGAAAAATCACACACTATATATGCTGACGCCATGAAGTTGCATCCTCATGTTATCCTACCATGCATAAAACACAACAAACCACAGGCCATACATAACAATCTCCAGGTCACAGCCGCAGTGCAGTCGAGAGACCTCGCAGGCATAATTAATCCAGGACGACTACCAATATTGAATATTGAAAAAGAAGTTCAATATTCAATACCGGGCAGAATCCAAGATCCAAGATCCAAGATGCCCAGGGACTCTTGGGGGGCAATCTTGGATACCACCCCCGGGCCCGGTATCCAAGATTGCCCCCCAAGAGTCCCTGGGCATCTTGGATCTTGGATCTTGGATTCCCACCCAATATTGAATATTGAAAAAAAGTTCAATATGCAATATCGGGCAGAATCCAAGATCCAAGATCCAAGATGCCCAGGGACTCTTGGGGGGCAATCTTGGACACCACCCCCGGGCCCGGTATCCAAGATTGCCTCCCAAAAGTCCCTGGGCATCTTGGATCTTGGATCTTGGATTCCCACCCAATATTGAATATTGAAAAAAAAGTTCAATATTCAATATTGGTTGCTAGAAGGCTCAATCCCTTACAGGCTCAATCCCTTACATCTGAACACGGTTATCTTCAAGAATGCAAGTCCCTTAGACATTAATAGGGTTTTGTGGTTTAGGGTTAAAGGTTTAGGGTTTGAAAAAACTTAACATTTAAACTTAACAGAGGCAAATCCTCACGATTGGCTAAAAAAGCAGGGGGGGGGATATACACGTACCCTTAGGGTTTAGGGTTTAGGGTTTAAGGTTTAGGGTTTGGAGTTTGGAGTTTGGAGTTTGGAGTTTCGGGATCAGGGGATTAGGGATTCGGGGAGTGGGGGATTTCGGGATTTAGGGGGTTTAGGGGCTGTTGGGGGATTCGGGGTTTTTGGGGATTAGGGGCTTTGGGATTTAGAGGTTTGGGGGGGTTAGGGGTTTATGGTTTTAGGGGATTCGTTTCGGCTTTAGGAGGAGTTTCGGGGTTTAGGGGTAAGGGATTGGGGGGGATTAGGGGTTCAGGGGGTTAGAGGTGTAGGGGTTTACGGGTTTAGGGGTTTTGGGGGGTTAGGGGTTGAGGGGCTTAGAGGCTTCGATGTCTTTTTGCTTTGATGGTATCAAGCCTTGAAGTTAGCCGTCATCCTCGCGCTGTACATTAAGCTCGTGTCTCTCACTGCAGCAGCCTCCAAGTTGACAAGCCGCGCACCCATGTTAGGGTTTAGGGTTTAGGGTTTAGGGTTTAGGGTTTAGGGTTTAGGGTTTAGGGTTTAGGGTTTAGGGTTTAGGGTTTAGGGTTTAGGGTTTGGGGTTTAGGGTTTAGGGTTTGGGGTTTAGGGTCTAGGGTCCTGCTTTTGCCAAAGACTCATCTGATCTTCTCACTGCCTTTTGGCATGATCTGGCTTTGGACTTCACTGTCACTGGTTTCGTGGTTTAGGGGGATTGGGGGGTCGGGGTTTTTAGGGGCTTAGGGGTTTAAGGGTTTAGGGGTAAAGGGGTAAAGGGGTTTAGGGGTTTAGGGGTCTAGGGGTTTAGGGGTTAGGGGCTAGGGGTCTAGTGGGTTTGGGTTTGGGGGTTTAAGGTTTAGGGGTTTAGGGGTTAGGGTGTAGGGGTCTAGTGGGTTTACGGATTTAGGGGCTGAGGGGCTTAGGGGTCTTGGGGGTTCAGGGGCTTAGGGGTCTTGGAGGTTTAGGGGTTTTGGCGTTTACGGGTTTAGGGCTTAGGGCTTTTTAGGGTTTAGGGTTTAGGGTTTAGGGTTTAGGGTTGAGGGTTGAGGGTTGAGGGTTGAGGGTTTAGGGTGAAATTGAAACTCTCCTGGCAGTGTTGCATGACCCTGCTGGAGGGAGGCGGCCGTCCAGCAAAGGTGCCTCACATGGTGTCGTCTGGGGGAAGAAAAGCCGTTCCATCGGGCTTGGGGTTTAGGGTTCAGGGTTTATGGTTTAATGTTCTTCTGTCGGGTTGTGAAAAAGGGCAATCCTCCCGAGCCGAAAACCCCTAAGCACCGAACCCCGTAGCCTAACCCCCGAATTCCCTAAATGAATCCCCTGAACCCTAAAAACCCTCTACCACCCTCAACCCACCAGGCCCGAAACCCAACAAAAACAAACCCGAACGCCTCAAACTCTACAGCAAACCCTGAAACGCTGAAACCTGAAACCCTAGACCCTAAAGCCAAAGCCCTAAGCCCTACACCCTAAACCCCTAAACCCCTAAACCCCTAAGGCCCTAACCCCTAAACCCCTAAACCCCTAAACCCCTAAACCCCTAAACCCCTAAACCCCTAAACCCCTACACCCCTAACCCCTAAACCCACTAGACCCCTAAACCCCTAAACCCCTACACCCCTAACCCCTAAACCCCGAAACCCCTAAACCCCTAAACCCCTAAACCCCTAAACCCCTAAACCCCTAAACCCCTACACCCCTAACCCCTAAACCCACTAGACCCCTAAACCCTACGGAACCCCTAAACCCCTACGTAAACCCCTAAACCCTAAACCAAAACCCTAAACCCCTAAAAACCTAAAACCCTAAACCCTAAACCCCTAAACCCCTAAACCCCTAACCCCTAAACCCTAATCCACTAAAACCCTAAACCCTAAACCCATAAAACCCCAAACCCCTAAACCCCGAAACCCCTAAACCCCTAAACCCCTAAACCCCTAAACCCCTAAACCCTAAACCCTAAACCCTAAACCCTAAACCCTAAACCCTAAACCCTAACCACCAAGCGGCCCAGTTCGTGGAAGGCCCATGCCGCCGCTCCAAGCGAACGAGTCGCGATCTCCCCGAGGCGCCGAAGCCCCTGACATTAACCAAGTACTATTAATAAAGGGGCCTTTCTTCACTTGGCAAATTCTTTATTCAGTACGTTCATTGCACTCGTTTCACTCCTTTCAACATAATTTTAATGCAATGCACGCATGAACGAAGTGAATGGTAAAGCCGCATTAAACGACCTGGAAATGGGGGTAAAATAGCATGTCTTTTGGAATGTTGGTTTAGTTCACGAAGTTACTATAATGGTGTTCTTGTGAGCGCAGGAAAGGGCGTACCAGGAGTTTACAATAGGATTTCCAAGGTGAAGAGAGTGTGTGAATAAGAGAATGAATGAGCCTGCGAATGAATGAACGCAGTGAGCACATGAACGAAACAACCTCTGTCTCTAGGAGTTAATCTGTTGAGTCGTGAAGGTAACAGCCAGGATGGGGGGCTTAGGGTTTAGGGTTTAAGGTTTGGGGTTCAGGGTTTGGGGTTCGGGGTTTAGGGTTTAGGGTTTAGGGTTGAGGGTTTAGGGTTTAGGGTTTAGGGTTCGGGGTTTGGGGTTTAGGGTTTAGGGTTCAGGGTTGAGGGTTGAGGGTTTAGGGTTGAGGGTTTAGGGTTTAGGGTTCAGGGTTTAGGGTTTGGGGTTTGGGGTTTAGGGTTTAGGTTTAGGGTTTTTGTGGTTTGGGGTTTGGGGTTTGGGGGTTAGGGTTTAGGGTTTGGGGTTTGGGGTTTAGGGTTCAGGGTTTAGGGGCTTAGGGTTTAGGGTTTCAGGGTGTGTCACGCGCTCCGCGCACACCACCACGCAGGGCATGTGCTGTGGTGTGCGCCAAGGTTCACTTCCTCTCCCAACCCACCCACCCAGTTTATGAACCTTGGTCGGGTTTAGGGTTTTCGTATATCTGTTGGCTGTCCTCTCAGATGCTTGCTTGAAACCCATTCCATGTCATTTTCATAGCTCGAGGTTTGTACTTTGGGATTTAGGGGGCCTTGCGGGGAAGGCCCCTCCTTACGGGGTTTAGGTTTAGGTGTAGGGGTTGAGAGGCTTAGCGGTTTAGGGGATTAGGGGTTAGGGCTTAGGGCTAGGGGTTTTTGGGCTTAGGGTTTAGGATTTGGGGGGGGGGGGGGGTGGGCTGGGTGCTGTTCATGGTGAGGCCTGCTTTGCCACTGCTAAGGCTTGGGGGGTTTGTGAGAGAAGGCTGGGGGTTCCGGTCCCTCAAGCCCTAAACCCTAAACCCTAAACCCCAAACCCCAAGCATGCATGGGCTCCTCGTCCGCCAGGCAATCTGAGCGCGCCGCTTCAAGAGCTAGCCTGGGAAACCCGACTGCTCGGGTTTAGAATTTAGGGGACCCCTCGGCTTTAGGGTTTAGGGTTGAGGGTTCAGGGTTTGGGCGTTTAGGGCTTTTAGGGTTTTGGAGTCTAGGCTCTTTGGGTCTCTGGGCCTCTTAGGGTTAAACCCCTTGGAGGTTCCTAAAAATGACCCAAGAGTTGTTTGGGGTACTATTTGGGGGTTCTTCTTTTTGGATCCTCCAAGGGGTCTGTGTTATAGGGTTAAACCCTAAACGCTTGCTTACCCTACTTATATAAGTATCCATGGTTTTGACCATACTAGAAAAAAGGGTACCCTTTGGTACCACTGGCTACAGAGATACACTGAACCCTAAACCTGAACCCTAAACCCTAAACCCAAACCCTAAACCCTGAACCCTAAACCCTGAACCCTGAACCCTAAACCCTAAACCCTACACCCTAAACCCGAAACCCTAAACCCTAAACCCGAAACCCTAAACCCTAAACCCTAAACCCTAAACCCTAAACCCTACCCACGCTCCAAGCACTCTTCAGCTTAAGTGGGGCCACGCCCAGGCAAGCCCGGCGATGCGGTCAGCCGACATCTCGCGGAGACGCCTCTGGCGATCTTTCGATGGGCTTGGGGCTTGGGGTTTGGGGTTTAGGGTTTGGGGTTTAGGTTTGGGGTTTGGGGTTTAGGGTTTAGGGTTTAAGGGTTAGGGTTTGGGGTTTGGGGCTTGTTTCCCTTCTTACGCTTGGAGCCTAAGCTGAACTTCCCCACCCCCGAAACCCACAGACCAATCGAAGCAACTGAAGCTCCCGAGGTACTAGAGCTATCATTTGTCTAAACCCTAAACCCTAAACCCGAAACCC